AAAAAAAAAGGAATAAATAAATGGATGCTACAATAAGTATTTATTCTATTTATACATCTGTGAAACATAAAGTAGGAAAAAAACCAAACAAATAATTTGATCTAGGCGTTTTTTAAGTCTACAATATGAGGCTCTAAACACCTAGTTAATATTTTATAATAAGTTACATCTATAAATATAACAGGTAAATTCCCTATCAAAGTATATTTCACAGATAAACAGTCTTTCGCGATTCTTCAGGTCGTGCCAATTTTGAACAATACATTTTGTATACTTGAATGTTTTTAATAATGTGGGTTGTTGATTTTATTACGAATAACGAAAGACAATTTCAAACAAATTAGAAAGCAAACAGTAACAAGAATGCCATCATAAGACAGAAGAGACCCATAGCCTCTGATAAGGCGAAACCCAAAATAGCATATGAGAAAAGTTGTTGTTTCAAAGATGGATTACGGGCATAACCAATGATGAGAGATCCAAAAACTGTTCCAATTCCAGCTCCTAACAACATAAATAAAATAAATTATTAATTTGATAAAATATAGGTATAGATTCAAATAATTGCTACAAAGATACAATGATATATATGCTATATTATTATATTAATTACTTTTCAAGGACAAAATTAAGTTAGATATAGAAAAAACTCACATTCATGAAAACTTCTTAAGTGTTATCAATCGGGTTCATAAGTACCAAAACTATGCCAGTAAAATTCACCTTTGATCTTCAATAACAAAGCAAGCATAAAGATATTTCAAGCTTAAGATGAGTTTTCTTACGTAAGATACTTATAGGTGTTAAAATAAAATTTTTAATGTAACTTTGTGTAGATATAAGAAATCTCATTAATATTAAAACTAAACTTTAAATAAAGGAGTAAAAATGGAATATTAATTTAAAACAGTATTAAGCAAATCATGACTTCTATTAACATTCAATATTTTATCAGTAATTTCATNTTTACGTAAGATACGTATAGGTGTTAAAATAAAATTCTTAATGTAACTTTGTGTAGATATAAGAAATCTCATTAATCTTATTAAAATTAAACTTTAAATAAAGTAGTAAAAATGGAATATTAATTTAAAACAGTATTAAGCAAATCATGACTTCTATTAACATTCAATATTTTATCAGTAATTTCATTTTTTACCACAAAAACTTTTGTCAATTTTTAAAAAATGGCATAAGGAAAGAAAAAGNATTTTTTAACACAAAAACTTTTGTTAAATCAATTTTTAAAAAATGGCATAAGGAAGGAAAAAGTAAAGTAATAATTAATCTTATTCGCCCAAAAACATTTTAAAGAATGTCAATAAGTCATATCCTAAAAGACTCAAAAAAAGTTTTAATTTAAATAAATAGAAGATGTTACTTGATTTGTTAAAAGAAAAATATGACTTCATTGAAATTTACTTTAACATACAATTTATTCTAATCATACCCTATTTTTATAATAGTTAAATTGTAATTAAACAATTCAGATAATAACTTAACAAATATAAATTGTAGTTTTGAAGTTCTGTAGTAATTATAATACTAAAAAGCAAATAACAACAAAAAAGTGACCATAATACACATAAGACCCATAGCTTCAGCCAAAGCAAATCCTAGAATTGCATATGAAAATAATTGTTGTTTTAATGATGGATTACGTGCATAAGCTAACATTAAACAACCAAAAACCATTCCAATACCAGCACCTAAGATGAAAATATAGGAAATGAGTAGTTACTAAGAATGATAGAATTAATTATTGGGTTGAATTTGTTACAGATGTACTATAATTTAATATTTAAATAATATATAAATATATAATAAAAAAAAAATAAGCTAAATATAAAAAATAAAAAGGACGTCTTGTCAGACACTATACTTTCTACTTTATAAAACAAGTTGCTATCATTTTAAACACTACAAACTAAATAACAAAGAACTATAATTTATCACAAAAACCTATCCTAACACATAAATAGTTTATTAATTAAACTTTAAAAATGAAAAAAAGTATTAAATATTTGGAACAGTACTTAATTTTTGTTATTTAAATACAACTATTCAAAAAACTTTCAATTCGGTAAAATGATAGCAAACATTTACAAATATGAAGCTAAGATTTCACAAAAAATCAAAGTATGCGAATATTGATAAGACTTTACTTATAATGTTAATAAAAAGCTTTTTCATTAATAGAAAAAAAAAATATATTTGCACTCATGCAGCTATTTAAAAGCCATTATAACAATTTAAACTACCTGATCCGGCAATTCCTACTGTAGCTGCTCCAGCACCTATAAATTTAGCAGCTGAATCAATGTCTCTTGAAACAGTAGTGGTTTGGAATCCTCTAACAGCATTAACCTACAAAAATGAATAATAAAATAAAAATAAATTGTTTAACAATAAATAAAAATATGCGTTTACCAAGCTTCCATTAGGTACAATTGGAGATTGTTGGTTTTGTTGTAATTGTGTGCTTGGTCCATTTGACACAATACTACTGATTGGCCTGGCAAGAGAAGCTCTGTTTGAGAGGATCTATACAATAAAATCAACAGAGGAAAGAGGATATTAAAGTTTTCTAGATTATTTATATTGTATTTCTGTTATATCAAAATACTCCAATGAAATTAATAAAATATATGAGTAAATGCAATGTTACCTTAAATAAACTGATTAGTATTTAATACAATATAATTAAATTTTATGAATAATTCTTCAACATAATCTTATATTTAAAAAAATAAATAAACAATCATGACTCAAATTTATTGTAATGTTTTTTCATTATATAATAATATAATAAACTGGATTGAAGAGCTCTATCCAAAAATAACAAGATAATGCCATTTTTCAAAAACTTCAGGAAACTAAAAAAAAGACATTTTTAACATTTTTTCATTTACTAGAAAATAAAAGAAATGCTTTTTTTCATATTTAAAAAAGAATTTATTTATTACATAGGTCTATGTATCATTTTTGTTTAGAATGAACTTCAAAATCTGATTTTTAAATAAAAATGGAATTATCTTGTTTTTGCACAGAACACTTATTAAGAATTAAGTAATTAATATATTAAATTGACAAGGTTTTAATATTAAAACACTGTAATACTTAAAATATAAAATTATAATTTGGTAGTATTCATTTAATTAGAGTTTAAATCATATAATTATAATAAAATTTAAATACAAAATTAAACATAAGATAAATACTTACAGCAGAGCGGACAGCTGGTGCAACAACTTTAACTAAGGAATACATGATTGAAGTGTAATTATTTAGTTATTTGAGCTGATTAGCCGAATCTGAAATCATAAATATCAATAAATTAACATCAACCTCGTGTTCAAAGTTTTAACCTTTGACAAGGGCAAACGAGAAGAGAATGAGAACTAAGATTTAACGGGCAATAATCTACAGTTAGATGTTAAAAGTAAACTGCATGGTAATCAAAGTTTTTCTCTTAAATAAATACTATCATAGAGAAGTATAAAAGTAAACGGATAGTAAACCCGGCGTTTTAGGTGTGACCTGGATAAAGATGGCGGATCACAATCTAGTAATTAGTCGGCAAAAATAAGTAAACCGAAATATAATTAAACTCAGTAAAAAAATAATTGAAGTATTAGACATAATTTAAGATAATGAAAGCTTCGCCATAATTTTAAAACAATTGATGACCACTTACCAAATGTAAAGCCGTGAGACGGTAATGACAGAGCAACGACGAGAAAGAATGACAGATTAACAGGACGGACTCACACGGCAACTGTATGACCGGGTTATGCAGCATTGCTACAGTTCAACCACTAGTAAGCCAATGAACCAATGAAAATTAACGATTCCAGTAAATGCGGCAACAATGTCACTGCACTAGTCAAAATCCTACCAGCTGATAGGTTGCTTGGTTAACCAAAATAAAGCTCTATAGCCGGCCGGTAACCGTAATAATTATTAGTCTTACATAGAAATAAAAAATTATTTTTGACTACGTATATTCATGAAAATAAGTGATAAGAGTATTAAAAAATAACATTTATAATGATACTAAATATCAAAAGTACTGTTAATACAGAGTGACACTTATCATGAAATTAATCGAAAAATAAAAGTAGTATTAATAATTTTTTTATTGATGCTTTTAGTTCAATGATACTCTCAATTAATCAATCATAAAGTATATTTTATATTCTTCCCATAGCCTTATAAAAGTATCAATTTTAATTTATCAAATGGCAACACACATAATTGACTAGCTTATTTATTGTATAATGATCTAATTCAAAAAATGACTACAGCAACAATTGATAATAATAACTTATGGAGTACTATTTCAGAAGTTATTAACAATTTAAAGTAATGACTGGAGGTAAAGAGTAGCTGTTACTATTTTTATAACTAGACATTTCACAGCCGTACTTTTCCTCCCGCTTAGGTAAAAAAATGTTAATAACTTTCAAAATACTAGTCCAAAAGTTTTTATCTTACTTAGATTATTAACTATTAAATAAGCTCGTTAATTATGCAAGTTGCCATTTAAGGAATTAAAACTGACACCTTTATAAGGTGTATAGGATGAACATAAAAAATATTTCATGATTGAAACATTGAATTAAAATAAACCAATAAAAAGTTATATTATTTTTATTTTTCGATTATTTATGTGGTTTGTGATAAATGAATCACTCTGTATACGAATTTTTATTTTGTTTTAACGTAAATTACAATGTATTACTATATAACTGTGGTTACACTATTAATGAACATTTTTTCCCAAAATTTATTAGAACTTAAAACTTATATTTTTACCAATTATGATATTTTTCCTATTTTAGAAAATTATATCATTAAAAACGAATAAAAATACATTTTTTTTATAACATACTTTGATCAAATAAAATTAATTTTCAATCAAAAAAATCAATTTAATTATAGCCCAAATTTTAATTGTTAATAGCAAAAAAACTTTCTCTTTTCTCTCTTCTTCTTTAATCCTGTAAATCCTCTCTTACATGATTTATATAACATGGTAGCTTTAAAGACAATCCTCAGTAATAATTAAAACTGCAACTTAAATGAAATTTTGATTTTCTATCATTGTATTAATAAGAAATTCTACATATCGTTCACTGGTTTCTAACTAGTTTCATTTAATGAACGATAAACGAGTGAACTAGTTAATTAAGCTTACTGATTAATCCCATCTCTAGTATCTATACTATTAAATAGCAAATATCAAGTTATCAATTACTGAAGTACGAGATACGCCAATACTGACACTGAGTGGTATTTCTTTTGACCAACGCGTTACTAAATCAGCTGGAGTGTGGTAGATAGTAGTTATATATTTTGCTAGCCATCAATGACAGGAGGGGGCGCAAGCTCAGTAGTGATCAGCTGATAATCATACTGTTAACACCCAGACCTCTGTGTGACTTTCGTTCAGCTGCTGCCTGCTGGATAAATGGCCGTATTCCTGTTAAATGAATGTAAATTCAACAACTGCGGTTTGTGCTTCAAAAACTTATACGATCTCATACAACACATAGAAGACAATCATATAGGTAAATCTTAGATGAACGTGGGGATCGCGAGATTGTATTACGAAACGTACTTTGCTTGCATAGTTAATTTTTCCTCCGTTGTCGTATACCATGACCTTTCCATACTATTAATAAGGGCAGTACCTCCAACCCGCCTCTAATAGGTGTGGTATTTGTGTGTGACCTAATTGTACATTGATTTAAATTTAGATCCTTATATCCATCAATTTTAGAGTTTTCTAATGTATTGGTTCTTAATAGGGTGTGGTTTTTTTTACACTTGGTAAATTTTCTAGCCATCTAAGGAAAAAATTATACCTTAATTATTTCAATAGGTGGAATGTAAAGTTGAGCCCACTAATGCACATAAAAATTGAGATTATGTCAAAAATATATTTGTATTGAAGTATATATTTTAATTTACATAAAAATAAAAACAGAACAGTGGTCAGTTGACAATTTGTATACCTAATTTATAGTTTCTCACGATACAATTACCTTAAAGTTTTAAGAAAATTAATACAATATATTTTCATATATTAATAGTATATCTAAAATTTAAATAGAAAAAGTTATTTTATTTAATATGTAAATCAGTAAGACTTAAATGAAGTCATTTAAAACTTTAAAATTTAAAACTATCTAACAAATTTTATTTTCTTATTATAGATAAATTTGCTGTATCTTCTTATATGTGGTTATCACCCATAAACTATATACAATAAATAACTATATCGAAACCAATTCCTTACACATTATTATTTCAGAATTATAAAATAAATTTATAGTTATTTTTGTATAAAAGTTAAGAATTATTATTTTAGGCTGATTAATATTTGTGTAGTAATGCGATATAAAAAATTTTAAGTTGTATTTAAAAGATTAATTTGTTAAAATATGTTTGCTAAAAAATGAATTTAGAATATTTCACTAAATATGTTTTAAAATCAAATAATAACTTTTTTTATGATAATATTGTAAAAAAAATAAATTCTCGATTATTTATCTTTTTAGGATTAAATTTATTGTATTTAATAAATGCATTAGTAGGGTATAGTGGGATAAATGTAAACAAATGGATTAATTTTTTTGTAAGAATATTTTGAAAATGTTTAAGATTATTTAAATAATTTTATGTACAAAAATAAATAAAATATACAATATTTTATTTTATGAGAAAAAATTATACATATTATCTTAAAGTCTAAAAAAAATTTTAAATAATTATTTAATTCTTAATACTATTAGAATACATTCCATCTAAATTAATTTAGTTCTTTCTTGTATTTCTTGTTAATAACTAATTTGATTAATATTTGGGAATGTTTAGATTTGTATAATATTCATTTGGATTTGACACATAGATATTGAACTCAAGCCGATTGAGCTGATTGATCAAACTGAACAACAATGTCTTCCATTAAGCTGTGTAATGCGGTTTTTCGGGGAGAATGCCGACAAAGCAGACATCGAACCAGCCAAACCAGTTTTACAACCCAAAACCAGTATTTTACCATCTGTTCCAAACATATTTCATCGTCCTATGAAGACTGGTATGACATATAGTTTTATTTGATTCAATTTCATGTATTAAAATAAAAGTATTAGGTTATGAGTCTGATAAAGGAGAATCAGAGGTAGTAGAGCGAATTGATCAAGTTGCTGACAGTAGTGATTCATGGTCTACCACATCTGATGTCATAGATGAAGCTCATAAAAATGGTCCTAAGTAAGAAAATTATACATTTAAAATTTCTCAACTTATATTAGTTATTTTTTTTTAGTATTCAACAAAAAAACAAAGCTGAACAACCAATTAGGCCATTTGCGTGTCCAGTTCCTGGTTGTACAAAAAGATATAAAAATGTAAATGGAATAAAATATCATGTAAAAAATGGTCATACAAATGGAAAGTAAGTGAATAAAAATTGTAATTTGTGAAACCAATATTTTTCTTGTTTCTAAATATTTATTTAATTTTTAGAATCCATAAAAAGTATAAGTGTCACTGTGGTAAAAGTTATGTGTCTATCCAAGGATTGAAATCACATGCTAATGGCATGCATGCTGGTACAAAAATGACTTGGTTGACAACACATAATGGTGAAACCATCCAAGTACCAGCAACTCCACTTTCACCTGATACAGTACCTATACGTGCAGTAACACTTAAACATGTGCCTAGGACAACAACTGATACCAATATACCCCCAAAAACATTAGTCATTACTAAACCTCCTCCGTCCACTGTTGAATTTCCTGTTATTGAGTCATAGTATAAATTTATAGGATATTAATTTAATTTTTAAAAGTTCCAGAGTCAGTCGTTCTATTATTTTTGTTGCTTGATTTTTTTCATTATAAAATACCAGCTATTAATTTTATATTAAGTATAAATTACTCCAAACTTCCTTGGAATTACTTAAAATATATATGCAGTTCAGTAGCCATTATTTGCTTAACATAGTGCTATTGGCTACACTTAGTATTGTGTATTTGCTGTGTAAGTGATGTATAGTAAATGTTACCGTAATAATTTTGTGTCTGTTAAAAGAATCAAAGATTGTTAAAATATAAATATTTAGAATTGTTTTTGTTTAAAGAAAACAAATTTTATTTTGAGTAAAAGTGACAATTCTTTCTGAGTACTACATAAAAAATTATTATATTTTTTTCTGTAGATATTAAACAAAATGTTTAACTTGTACAAAATTGTTAGGAAACTTAAATGTAATTTTCATAATTACAAAAAAATTTAATCTTAATCAATTTTTTCATGAGAATAAGATGTATGAATGTAAAGCACAGTAGAATACAGTAAACATATTTGCTAATAACTCTGTATTAAGGTACATGTGACTATAAACTTTAAATAAGTGATCATAATAATGTTTTTACAATAGAAAAAATATTATGTCTTTAGTTCAGAAGGTTACAAGAAACCAAATCAATATAGTCAACTATTCTGTGTATACACTAATTAAAATATAGTTTCCTGATGTCAAATAAACATTCTGGTTAATAACCAGCAGAAGAGATTTAATGTAATCATAATAATCTACTAAATTTATTTAACATAATAGACAATTTTATAGTATTTAAAATTGGCCGAACTCCACCTGTTATTTATGTATATAGTACATTAATGTTTTTTTTATTTAAAAAAATAATTGAATGTACTAAATTAGGAACCTGGTGTTTTTTTCAGATGATTACTAGGTATGCATTGGATAAAAGCCAATACAAATTGTTTGGGCCAAAAAATGAAAAAAAGGTTAATGCTGTTTGTACACTTTAAAAGACAAGCGAAATCATATTAAATTTAATGTTTTAATTATAAGCTCTAAACAGATTCATTTCTGTTCATAATGGTTTTTATTGTACTTCTTTATAGCATCTATATATCTGTGCCTTAGATCTAAAGAAATCATCTATTAGAAACAAACATTTTTTTATTCATTCGAAGAACTCTTGTAGTAAAACTAAATATGCTGTTATTTTTTGTTTCTTGTTAAGTTGGTTAGTCTTAAATTATGTTTAAAATATCTTTATGAAAAAGTAATAATTGAAGTACAAATTGACTAGTAGAATTATTTTGAACAATCTCTGAAGTATTTAATAAAAATATATTATTCTTGTGATACGTCTTCAGAATGATTAAAAAAAGTCCCAAGTCATAAGCACAATCAAAAATTATTCTATAGATTTGAAAAGTGACAGTTTATAGTAGAACCTAATAATGAATTAGGACCACACAAAATAAAAGTATATAATATAATAGATTTTGTATAACAGTATTCATATTATGAGCATAAAATTTTTGATTGGGCTAGTCTGTGTTCTACTCTTATTTCTAAGAAGTTCCAGTTTATTAATTTAATTTTTCTTGTTGAAATAAAGGCCACAGCAGCAAAAGTCATTGACCGTGATTACATGTATATCACATTAAAGTAGCTATTTAAATAATTAGATTAGGTAAACAATGATAGTTGGTCACGAACACATAAGTTATACAGATGTTATGCTAAGTTAAATAGTTTGATAGCCTTAATTTAATTATTACATTGATCTTTGTTTTGATAAAATGTACAGTGATTGTTTACTATGAACATGAAAATTTCAATTATTTGCTCTAAAAATAAAGTTTAGTAATGTGAAGACCAATTTAAGGAGGAACTATATTAGGAGACATGAAATAATTTAAAAGTAATGCAACACATTTAGAACAAATACTATCTTCTAAGCAATATTTTTATTCATGTTAAAAATAAAATCTCAAATAGTATTGGATATTTTAGTTTAAAAGAATAATACTATTTTAAAATAATAAAATTAAGTACAATCATAATGTTATGTTTAAATTGAAAAGATTTCATTACACTTAACTGTTAATAATACATTAATTAAAAAGATTATACACTCACCAACTAGGTAACTAAATTAAAAATAACTTTTAATTGATATAATAAAATTAGCACTTAAATTTTTCAATTTTATTATTGCGAGCCTATTTGTAATAGTTATTATACATTATTATCTTTTTTTTTTGTCATAATTTGCAGTAATGCTTGCCTCATTGTGATGACCATATTTTCAAGCTCTTCAGCTTTAGCAGTAAGTTTTCTGTTAATAGCTTCCATTTGGCTAGCACTTTTGTTCAATTCATTTTCTCTAGCCTTTCTAGTAGCTCTTGATTTACGAGAAGCTTCATTATTACGATCTCTAAGTTGTCTATACTTGTCATCAGATGAATTATCTTCATTTAGTCTTTTGTGTTTAGGATAATCATCATCATCGGTTTGTATAGATGCTGATGAATTACTACTGCGTCTTTTGCGGGTGTATTGAAAGGATGGTGAATCTACATTAGAATTTTTGGGGGTTGATGCTTCAGTAATATGGTCGGACTTTTTATCCTTATTAAAAAAAAAATTGATATAATAAATATTATTTTACAATATAATAAATTAATAAGTTAAAAAATTATCATTAAAATAATTACTTTGACTACCTTTTATAATACTGGATTATTTTATATCTAGGGTAATCAATACAGTCAAAATTATCAAAAACTTTCATAACCAAAAAAATTATATATATTATTTTAGATTCTATAATTCATTCTATTAATCCAATTTATTTTATATATTAAAATTAATCATATTATTTATAATTAAGAAAATCTATTTGATATAGTGTTCAATACAACATTTAGATAATTTGACTAACATTTAAACTTCATAACATTCTTTTAATCAAGGTTAAAAGAATGTGTTATATTTTAAAACGCCAAAAATGTCAAAATTTACATAGGTCATATGGGACATTTTAAACAGGTTTTTCTTTTAACAAACCTGCTTTTAACTAATAGGCGAGTAGTCCTTAGAGAACATTTGCTCAGGAATGATTAGGTCAATTATATTTACTGTATTTAAATAATTTAGTAGATATATCTCTTAAATAAATTTAATCTAGTATATTTCTACTTAGCCATTCAAATGTCTATGACAATTCAAATAATACTTATAATAGAAAACAATACTGTATCAGATTAAAAAAATTAAAATGTAGTTTTAATGTAATATAAGATTTATTTCCAAACTTACTTCAAAAACATAAGACAAAAGATTGAAATTAGATTCTTGTTCTGTAAGAGTTTTAACAACTTCTGGTGTATTAAGAATATCTCCAAGGCTAGTTGATTGAACAGATTGCAGTCCTACATCTAAACGTAATTGTGAATTTTTTCTTTTTGATATTGGTTCTTTGAATTCTGTATTATTTAGAGTAATGTCAGGTTTTATTTCTAAATCAGAAGTTGCACAAAAATCATCTTCTATGTTAAATATATCTTGAGATGTTACAAACGGGGGCAACATTGAAGTTGCTTCCAAATGAAACAGGTCTAAAAACGGCTCGTCTTCCCTAAACATAGTTATGTTGTTGGTGTTGTTTAAGTTTATATTCCCAGGTGCTCGTCTTTCGCATTTATCTTCTGAAATAAAATAATTGTTAAAATAAATATCTCTGTTGAAGTATTTCAATGTTTTACTTAAAAAAATATTAATTATTTTATAGAAATAGTTATAGCATTATTATTACCATTAGCGCACATATTGAAAAATTCATCCACTAAGCCCTCCATTTTGATGGGTGCATCGAGCACTACTGAACATGAACTGGTTGCTAAAGCTGATTGGGATTGTGAAAACTGGAGCAATTGATTGTTCACGTTTGGGGTGCCGGTTTTCTCGACAAGACATGAAGACAACACAGTTTTTAATGCAGTAGAACATGATGGCTTAGTCTAAAAAGTAATCACCATTAATAATATAAGATAATAATCAACTAGATTAATAATAGTTTAAATTGCTGATACTTACTTTAGAATTCGCTTTTGTGCTTACAAAAGTAATGGTGGTTAAGATTCACAACTTTATTACCTCCTTTTTACAGGAGACAATAAGACTTTTTATTTATCTAATAACAAAACAAAATATTAGTATTCAAATCTAAAAAATAAAAATAAATGTGTAAATTATTAATGTAAAATAATTAATATGATATAATAAATCACAAATGAAAATATTTATTTCTTTCAATTAGAGAAAATTAGTCAATAGCAAATTGAAGTGAGGTTCCATAATCATTAAAAAAACAATAATAATAAAATAAAATAATAAGCTATTAAACAATACATGTAGTGCGAAAAATGTATAAGTATATATCATATGGTATTTTGGATCCTAAAATTAATTTAATTTGTTTTATCAAACATTCAAAAGTTAATATAAATGGACTTTTGATAAATACAAGTTTTTAATTACTAAAATAATTAATTGTTATACACATAATAATATTGTAAATACAAAAATTTAATTCCTATTTTCTAAACAAGTTTAATGTCACGTCTTATATAATTCATTAAATTTATCAAATTTTCCTGAATAGTTTTATTCATTTTATACTAAATTGTTAAGCTTTTTTACTTAATTAAAAATTCTATAATAACAAAATCAAATGTTTAACATTTTGGATTTATTTGTATCATATGTAAATATATACAAATAAAATTGTTTATATATAATTTGAATAATTCTTGGAACATATAAATAATCAATTTTTAACCTTCAGAACATAAAAATGTTGAATAATCAATTGATAATAAAAAATGATTGCTATGTCGTAAGTTTCAAATTATGAAAAATACTGATCATTAATATTTAAACTATAATTATATAATAAACTAAATGAATTAATTTCACAATTTTTGAAAATTGTTTTTCACACAATAATTAATTATTTATAATACCCCATATTATTTTCATTACATGAATTGTTAATTACTATGATAATTTTACATAATACTAGAACACAATTAAGGGGTACAAAAATTAAAAATTAATTGGTAAAAAATGTATTATTAAATAATCTTGATTGTCATTTAAGAATTCGAAGCCTAAATAGTAGACAACCCTAAAGAGGCCTCATCCAAATTAAAATTAACAAAAATTTTCTTAGTGGGACATATTTGGTAAAAATTTAACTTAACACAATTTCACATTAAGTAAAAAAAAATAATGTCGCAAATATATAGAATATTAATTGATTCAAGGTCTCGTAGAACTTACTAGAATTCGTGGAACTCGCGACGCAGTTTGGTCGTGTGCCGATCCAAATTTGTATACTTGTATGTTAAATCACGACAAACTTTATTAATTTTGTTATCATAAATTTAATTATATGGATTTAAAATGCTACAAAGAAAAAAATCCTGCGTTTTTCAACTGAAATGAACAACTGGTAAAACTTGCGGTAAAGCAACGTGGACACTTTAACGAGAATACCTTCTAACTGGCAACATGAATAGCATGATGAGAGGGATAGAGGTTCGACTCGCTACCATAGCTATTTTTCGTATTAAGCTTTCTTATTGGTTCATTTGGGTTGTGTGACGTCAATGTACACCAATCAATGCACGTTTTGTAAAATGGTGTCATTTATTTCAGATTATGCGGAGACATGCGACTCCGGGGGGAACAGGATTCACGCCTAAAATATGACCACACTGCCACTATAAGAATTTTTATCGTGTATTAAACAATACCTGGAGGAATGAGAAATGAAATGTTAACCTAATCCTACGCCGTCTAACCACGTAGGGCAGAACTTACGTAACACATATGTGGAATACTTTTGAAAATTCCGGATTTTATCACATAGAGAGACAATAGTTACTATACTACTGTCACTCACCTTATATTATTTCAACTTGTGAGAAAAAAATCATTATAGGGTTATTTTTTTAAGAAATGAAGGACACATATTCATTTAGTAGAACGACATAAAACTTGGTTCAAACATATTTTATGATTATGCATTCTCAATAACCATACTTTCACCATGTCGTAAATAACTTTTTAACCAGTAAAATATGTTTTTTTTGTTTTTATACAAGTTGATTTGGGATGAAAACATTTAATTTTGTGACGCTACACTAAAAGAGATTATGTAATACTACGAAATATTAGATTATTTCTATACTATCGTGAACAAAAAGTCTTGACAAATTAGTTGATTCATAGTGTTTCCTGTAATAATCATTTTAATTTTATCAATCAAATATTATTTCAAATTAAAATTATATTAGCCACAAATGATCAATTTTTATTATATAATCAAATATGACCTAAATTGTAAAAAGCTATCATATTAATTTAAATAGATGACAGTATTCTTTATTCGAAAGTTTTCTCTTGATTAGTAGTGTTTATAATTTCTCTTATCTAACATTATTTGTTAATTTATTTTCTATTCTTTATAATTTTCTTAGTATTTTTTTCTCTAAAACTACGATAACTGTGAATTCAAAGAAAAATGACTAAGGAAATACAATAATTGCCATTTCTTAAAAAAACTTAGGCTTAAACTAGTGGTGTAATTTAGATTTTACGATAGAAATAAATACCTTCTCAGCTTCGCATCGAAGCTAAAAAGTAACGAAAAAAAATTCTGAATCCATACGTGATAACAATTATAAGTGGAGTTAAAGTAAACACGATGCAATTCAATTTGTATAATATTTTAGGAGAGTCGTTAGAAATATTTTAAACCCATAAGGATTTATTAGGACTAATAAAAGTGTAGATATTGAATATGCAATAATATTGCTTGTAACTTATTTTCATTGCTGCTATCGTTGATACCAAAGGAAAAGACAAGTTTGAAATTTATCATTATCGGGTCAAACTCATTTTACTCAAAAATTGTATTGGTCATTTTTGTATTAACCCTCGCAAATAAGTCTGATAATTTCATAGATATAATATCGAAACAATTATGATCTGTGAAGGGGTCTAATATTCTGATTTTCTCTAAACACTATAAGCTCCATAATCTGACATTAAATAGGTCATTAAGTGCTTATATAACATTTGTCTAGTGGTTTATTTCTAACTCATACTAATTGAGTACAAATAGTTCAACATTTTTCATGTCTATTATATTCAGAAGTTTAGTTTTTTGATTTGAAATGGAAGGTTATGGCCTATAAATTCTGAACCAGTAGTTCAGAATCGTATTATACAATACCTGCATAATTTAATTCTAACTACAAGTATATATTTAGTGGTTTTATTAAATTGTATATTAAGTCTCAATGCATATTAATACAATACAAATTTAGTGTCCTTATTTATAAAACATCATATTTTGATTATAATTATTATAATTATATAATTATATATTATTATATATATTTAATAAGCAGACAATTGAGAAATCTAAAATAAATAATTTTTTTTTAATAAATATAGTAATTTATATTAAGAAGAATATCAGCTGAATATTGATTGAAAAATAGTTTGAAACTATCAACATGAAGAAAAATGTACACCTCTAACAATAAATCTGTACGACTATACAAAAAAAATTGTATAATTTTATTTTTACTATATAAATATAATATAGAGTAAATATATTATTAATATATCAATAGTTTTATCGTATATTTGTCAAAAAGATTGTAGTACTTAAGTATACATATTGAATAATTATTATTGTCTAAAATTCAAGCGCATCATATTCTCACTATTTGATTTTATACCTGGAAAAAATTTAATTAATTTAATATTCAATAGTTGTTTTAAGTTCAAAGGTAAAGTTATTTTTTAATGATAAAAATGCTATTATGAAAATTAAAGTCATTAATATAAAGTCCATATCTTTTTTTATACAGAAGTATTTAACCAAAGCCGTTTCGTGAGGTGTCGTACTCCAACTTGATAATTTTAAAACGATTTAGTCAACAACTTTAATATTAAAGGATGATACTAAAAATATCATATTTTAAGTAACAAAATTTTGAAAAATTTATTTTGTCAGTAAAAATAATATTTTGAGAACTATTATCCCCATTCAAAGTGTATGTAAATATAAAACATACTTGTCACTGGTGTTAGAGGCATAATTACGGGGTGCAAATGTATAATTTCGCGACCCCTAAAACCTTTCACTGTCCTTCAAATTACAATGTGTTCAATGATAATTTTTTTCTCGATTATGTAAGTAAAACATTGTATAATATTTAATTAGATGAGATAGGGTAAGTATGTCTACTGCATATTTGGACATGATAACATTTATGATTATTCATTAGAATAATTTTATCAAAGTCTATAACCGTCACTTTTCAACAGTTCAAATATTTATGCTTGTTAATTATTAACAGTTATTAAGTATCGCGTGGGTCTGTTATCACTCGCATGTAAAAATTTGATTCCATTTGGTATATGGTCAAATACTAATTTTTTCATGCTATTGATTTCAACTAAACGATATACTACATTTATTTCTATATTTTAACATATTAAGAATTAAATAAAATGAAATAATATTATAATTTATTTTAATTTAATACTTACCTCAGTACATATGTGTACCGGGCAAGTGTGATACTATTTATGTAGTTCTTATTCATTAAAATTATCATAACTTGTATTATTTAAAAATTTGTCGTTTATTTTCGTCGAACCTAATCATTAAAATATGTTAATAAATTTAGATATGTTACTAAACATGAAACTTGAATAAATGGCATTAGCGTTAAAAGATCTACCCATTTTCTTACAAGAAATTTTGATGGACTTATAATAATTTAAAGGTAAGTACTTATTAAGTTACAAGCATTTTAATACATTGAATGTGTATATAGCGCGAAGGGTACAGCTCGTACTGGTTAAGTGGGTTTGTTTAGATATGTGCACTCCGCTTGCGCTAAAAGCATATAGTAAATAGTTGTTTGGTTCGCTAGCGAATTTTATAGACTTATTTTTATAAGTATTGAAACTTAAAACTGCTTAAAGTAAGTCAGAAACACTGATAGCTTTTCAAAATAATTAAAAAAATTTTGCGGCCCATAAAATTTGGTTCAAATTAGTTCTTGACTGGTGTAACTAAGATTGGAATTGGAGAAGGTTTAAATTAACTAAAACCCAAGTGGTAGTGTTGTTTAATCCTATTAGTTTGTACTTTGTTTTTGATTATTTACTTTGAAATTATAAACACAGAAAATTATCTTCACATTTGATGGTCACTTCATAAAATTAAAAAAGTATACTATAATTTTTCTGCTTTATTATGGTGAAACAGAAAAATTTTATTTTGTTTTATAGTAATAAAATTATATCGTTTTGTGGTTTTTGCTTTTCTGAGTAAATCAAAAACTGGGTAGTGTATAACGTTAATAACCATGGCTTTTGTTGAAAATATTATCTCACTATATTATTGGTTAATAAATATATTTTACATAGTTAATACCTAATTAGATACTCTATATCAACTGAACTATTAATTATGATTATGAACTCGAACTCAGATCTTGAATTATGTCGTTTTATGTTCTCCTGGTACTTGTTCAGCTATCATAGTTTTGCAATCGGAAACACCAAGGCCATAAATTGATATCTAGACTAATAAAAATATATTAACGATCTTATTACGCTAACATGAAAGTTAAGTTTAGTTTTAAAGTTTAGTCGAATGTATTCTTTTTCTATTTTCAATATTTATGTGAATTTTTTTGCACGACACTTATAAATAAATTAAGATTAATCTACCTTGAGATATTTTAAATGATGTAATTATACTAAAATAATGATTAAAATTGGGAATAATTGTGTATAAGAGACCACTCAATTTTATTGTAAATTAAAATTTTTAACTCGGAAGTAGGGTCATTAAGTATTCTTTTAGTATTTTTTACAAATCTTAATTTGTCTTTAAGTGACACGTGATCAAGGGATCAAAATTTAGCAGGAGATATATTGAGTTAAATTCTCCCAAACATTGTCTAACTTCCTTAAGTTTAATAAAAATAAATTAACAAAAAGAAGAGGTTAAATATCAAGTTATTGCCATAGAAGTAAATTAAAAGTAATTGTTTTTATTTTTTAACATATTATTTAAAAATTTAAAGATTGTTAACTTATACTTATGATACCTTATGGTAAATTTTATACACAAAAAAAATATACAAAAATGTTCAAAACATAAAATAAAATGAGATGAGCATCAACTATTATAATTTAAATATTTTAATATGTTGAAGTGTGCCACATCACATGACCGTAAATTATTTTTTAAATAATTTGTTTGGTTCATGATTATTATAGCCATATGATTACTTCAACAAAATTTAGAAAGTCTAAATCTAGATTTAGAAATCTACTCATTTATCTTTCACTCAATAATATTTCATGCTATTTATTTAGAGTAGATATATATTATTATGGGAGATGGGTCTTCAATTTCGATGACAATTATCAGATATTTTTCGTGATACTTTTTTATGTAAAAATAAAATTAATAATATTGTTTATAAATTCATCAAAATAAAGATAAAACATTTTTTATTTAAACGATAATAAATTAACGATATGTTTTTATACTATACAAGGCGTTTCACTTATCATAAACCACTTAAATAATCGAATAATAAAAATAATTTGTTATTGGTTTCTTTTAATTCAAAGTTTTTCTCGATTGATCAATCAAAAAGTATTTATTATAATCATCCCTTATACCTTAGAAGAGTGTCAACTTTGTTTTTTCAGGTGGCAGCGTACATAATTACTAGCTTATTTAATAGATATTGATCTAATCTAAGAGAGTAACTAGTTGATAACAACTTTTCAGTATTTAAAAATTATTGAAACTTTTTTACCTAAACGGGAGGAAGAGTGCTACCGAGAAATAGTGATAAAAATAACACCCATGTCTCATCTCAGCCTTCAATTTAACATATTAATAGCTTCCATTATGTATTAAATAAGCTAGTTATTCACGTATGCTGGCATCTAAATAAATAAAGTTGTATGTCTTCTAAGGTATAAGGGATTATTATAAAAAATACTATTTGATTGATCAATCAATCGATCAATATTAGGCGGTGTTGGCATAAGGTGGTTATAAGGATCTTTTAAATAAAATATTATTAGAAAGGAAAGTCCTAAATGAATGGAAGAATAGTGTAGTGGTGCCGATATTTAAAGGTAAAGGAGTGTGGAAATTATAGAGGCATAAAGCTTATGAGTCATAGTATGAAAATTTGGGAGGAGGTAATAGATAAGAGAATAAGAAATGAGACATCAGTATTTAAAAACCAGTTTGGATTTATATCTGGTAAGTCAATTATGGAGCCATTATTTTGTGTGAAGCAACTAATAGAAAAGTTTAGGGAAAAGAAGAAAAAGCTGTGTATGGTATTTATAGTTTTGGAGAAAGCGTATGATAGAATACCGAGAGAGGTTTTAAAGTAGGTATTAATGAGAAAAGGAGTCCCGAAAAGATACATTAATATAATAGAGGATATGTATAATGGCATTGGTACCAGGGTAAAAAGCGTATGAGCAGTAATAGAAGGTTTTAGGGTAAAAGTAGGAGTGCACTAAGGTTCTGCTTTAGGCCCTTACTTATTTTTTATAGTGATGAATGAAATTAATAGAGAAATACAAGGAGAAGTGCCGTGGTGCATGTTGTTCGTTGACGATATAGTGTTAATTGGAGAAAACAGGGAGGAAATTAATCAAAGGCTAGAGGTGTGGAGATCAGCTCTTGAAAAAAAGGGTTTAAGAATAAGTAGGAGTAAGATAGAGTACGAGTTTGACAAAGAAGAACACCAGGTAGGTGAAATGAGGAGTTCAGTGACAATAATCGAGGACGCGATAGGACAGGTGGGAAGTTTCAACCGAGAAAAAGATGTAATGAATAAAATAAAAATTATAAATATTATTTTAGAAATTAAGTGGTCTTAATAAACGCTGTATATCATTCAATATACTTCTGGTTTCAATTTGTTTTTCTTCTGTGACACTTAATGCAGAAATTACCCATGTCGCCTTCTTTATTTTCTCCTTGTTTTCTGTGTTTTGATTTAGCCTGAATAACTTAATCTAGGGCTAAATCACAACACAACGTTACTTCCTCCGTTAGATTTTCACTAATGAAGGGTTCGTCCAAGGGATTCCGGCGATTTCTAGGTAGAGTAGGCTACAATGATTAGATACTTTATATTGTAAAAAATTAAAATAAATAAAAAAATTTGATGAAAGCCCTTCATATGATGTTTATTATAAAAAAACTAATTAAATAGAGGGTTACAAGAAAATATATATTTCAGTTGTCATAGAAACGTTTGCAAACAATTAATTAATTACGTTTGAAAATGTTTCATAAACAGAAAAAAATCGAATGCGGTGAAAGTATGATGGATTCTGACAAAGCACCAGTGGATTTATTTATTAAAGTACTTTTTTTTTATTTTAATATAATATGTACATATCAAGAATTATAAATTAATCATTTATTGTTTAGATGCACTCGGCACTAGTAGCCAAAAACTATTGTACAGCTCTAAACTACTGTAATGCAAGTAAATATTCATATTTAACAAATTAAATATTAGTAATATTGTTTAATAATCTATTGAAATTTATAACCTAGTTTTTTTTTTTTAATCAATAACAGTTTTGAACTATGAACAAAACGAAACAGTTAAAAAATTTCATGGATTGTTATTAAGGAAACTAGATTTAAGTGAGTTTTATCAATCCTGAATGAACTATTATGTCGAACTATCAATTTAATTTATTATAGTGAAGCAAATGTCAGATTATGAAATAAACAATACATCTTCCTTATCAGACACTGACACAGATACAGATTTTGACGCATAAGAAAATAAATCGATAGGATAGTTAAATTAATAGTACTGTTCATTAATAATACACATTGAAAATCAATTATTTACAATTTTATTGTATACAAATATGTAAGGATATAAGTTATCATATACTTATACTATTTTTTACATTACAATTTACTTACCAACTAAATGACAAATTTTAGTTAATATTTATCATTAAGCAAAAAATTATAATAAAGATTAAATTAAAAAATTTGATCAATTTGAATTATTGATGAAATTACTTGATAACCCAAAAGTTGGAAAATAACTATTACAAATTACACATCTTTAAGAAAATACTATTGAAATTAGTGCAAATTACATAATATTTAAAATAAAATAAAACAAACCCTGTATTATATGAGAAAATAATTATTGACTAATATTGAAATAATCTATAATTTCTTATTATTTATTAATATTACAATTTATCAATTATTCATTAAGTTTGTGCTAATTCAAACATTTATTTAATCAATTCAATATCTTTCAGACAACAATAAATATAAAAAGTAAATTTAATACACATAGCACAAGTTAACCCTAATAATTTACTTAATATATGAATAAACATAGTAATAAAAACGTAATGCAAAAAAAAAAAAATATATATATATATATAATATAGTAATTTTAATATTATTAATAATGCAAAAAATTATATTGAAAATATCACACTTTTTACATACATATAAGTATACTGTAACTTTCTATATACATTCAAGTTTGTATGAATATAAGTTAACAAAATAAATTTATATATAAAAATTATTTCTTAACAACGGCTACAAAATAAGTTTAGTCTTTATTAATATATATTTATAATAACTGTAAAGTAAATGAAGCAATTTGTTTTGATTTGTATTAGACTCTTTATGATAATAACTATTGTTTTTTATAAAGCAGCAGTCTTGACGTTCGCTTATAATTGTACTAACTTGCAAGATTTTTTATAAGGAACAAAATATGGAGAGGGAATCGAAAATTAAAATTTCACATAAAAGGAACTTCTCTTATAAAATTAATAAAATTTAAATAAAGGTTATTGGATACATGCTGGCACACAAATATTTATACCAAAAATATAAATTATTCTATTGCAAAGTCTTTACAATAAAGATTATATTTTTAAATAATTTCTATTTAGTAAATTTAACAGTTATTTTAAAATCAAATTGGGTTAAAAGAAAAAATATGTACAATAAAAATATACAGTACATAAAATATTCAGGCAGTTCTAAAATAAAATTAAGGTACATCCATTATTGTTGAATAATTTGTTTGTATAGTATCAAAAATAATAAAGCAAAATTCATAAATTAACAACTAGCACATACTTTAATGTTATTCAAAACTTAAAATAATATTGGCACAATTTTTTATTTAATGCATAACATTTTATAGGGATGGATGATTTGAGGTAGAAAAATTAATGTCGAAATTAAGAAATGAAACAGTGTGTTTGGTAACACAAGTTAATTAATAAGATAATAATAAATTAAAGTAGTACATACATTTTTGAAATACGGTTAAAATAAAACTATTATACATTTTATTATTTTTTTAAATTCAAATTAGTTGAAGTAAAGAAAGCACTTGGGATAAAAGCCCATTTAAGTCTATTCTGTTATATATAAATAAAATTTATTGTAATACTTAATAAATAAAAGTAAATGCCAGGAAAAATATTATACATGTTCCTAAAAATTTTATTTATGCAAATAAATGCATATAGGTAAAATATCTTCTGTTGTGAATTCATCGTTTATATGAATTATCACTTCTAACAACTTAGTAAAAAAGAATTAAATATATCATTTCTTAACTTGAAATCTTAGAAAAATCCTATTTAGAAATAAAAATAATGGCGCAAAAATATACCTTAAGATTTGGTACATCAAACACAGCTAAAACAATCAGTGTATTGAATTAATTTAACAATATAACTAGAATATTGGTACAATAGTCGGTTGCAGATCTAACAGAGTGAAAATTGTTCTCAGCTCTTTTAACTTAGTCCCAGTTAGGGTTATTTTTTTGTACTATTATTTTAGTTGAAGATAAATTAATTATATTAGATGAAGGTGTTGTTGGGCCAAAAGACGATGTAGTTGTGCTATTATAACGACGACATTGCCATGTGATACGTTCCATTACACAAGAAGCTGATAATCTTGCTTCTGCATCATGATCCCAACATTCTTCCATAGTATCACATAGAGCAATTAATCCCTAAAAATTGTAAAGATTGTAATTGAAATTAGCTTAATTATTTGAAAAGTTTTTATATAAAAAATAAAAACTTGATTTCTTACTGGATGAGATTTCCAATTATCTTTGAATGCAGGTCTTAGTTTTTTGTGTACTACACATTCTTGCATATCTTCTAAAGAAGGATGTTGACCAACTTCTTCTTCAAAAGGTAGACGATAGTCAGGAATTGTTCCTTGTTGAGCTGTGCATCTTGTAGCTAATTCCCAAAGTACTAATCCACACGCATACATATCTATTCTTAAAAATGCATCTCTTGAAAAGTTGATAGCTCCCTCTAATACTTCGGGTGCCATATATCTTCTAGTACCAACCTATTATTGCGTAAAAGTAAAAAAAAAATTTAACATTATATTAGGTAGAGTTCGGTTATATATAAATTTTGTTAAATTATTCCAAACACATTAGCAGCCAGTATAAATTTTGACTAATAGGATTGAAAACTTTATAATATGTTATAACTAGGGTTAAATAATTGTGGGATTAGGGTAGTTTATTTTCCCATAAAACAAAAAATATTTCTACACTATTGTGTATGCCAACAACAAATTTGGGATCTTTTAAAATGGCTTAATTAAAATATACAAATACGGAATTTAATGATAGGTCATTGTTATTATCAGTTAAACAAAATAAAATACTTACTTGGCCATGTGTGTCCCCACATGATTTTCCAGGTTGGAACACCAAAGCAAGACCAAAATCTGCAATGCATGCTGTTAAATCATGTTTAAGTAGAACATTATTACTTTTGAAGTCTCTATGAGCAATAGCAGGTTTATATTGATCAATACGCTCTGAAGGTATCTCTTCATGTAAGTGCATTAAACCTCTACAAAAATTAATTAAATATTTTAATTATATTAGACATTACTCTTAAGTTAAATATCACTTAAATATAAGGCATATGTAATTAGGACATTATAATTTTATAATTTATTTATTAATATAAATACCTAGCCATAGATTGAGCAATATGGCAAAGTTGATCCCACGTTAATACATTAGATTTCAAATAATCACAAAGTGATCCATAATCATGATAAGCTGTAATGAGCCAATATTCATTTTTAGCTCCTTCAATAGCACTAGCATGTTTTTCAGCTCCAATGAAAGATAATATATTGTCATGTTGCATATGAGGCAATTGATAAATATCTTGCTCTACTAACCATGAATTTTTGTCCTACATATTAAATGAATGAGTCTAATTTTAATATTAAATAGAACTTATTTATTTTACCTGTAGAGGGAATATTTTGACTGCGACTGCATCTTTTTTGTGAAGTGCCTTCCATACTGCTCCATAGCGACCACGTGCTTTAACTTCAACTAATTGGATAGGACGGTTCCCGAGTACTGGAGAACAGTTACCCAATTGTGAACTATCAGAAGATGGAACCTACAAAAAAAAAAAAAAAAAAAAAAAAAATAATTTAAAAATTGATGGATAAAAATAATATATTATTATTCAAATAATTAGTTATAAAACTATTAATTGAAAACTCACCCACTATAAAATAAATTCCAATAAGAGAGAAGTTTAAAAGAAAAATAGTAAAATATTAATTATGTTACCTAAGTTAATAATATAATTTTCATTAAAGTAGTGGTTTTTTTTATTTAACACGGCTCTATTCTATAATACTAATAATTGTATTATTAAATACAATAATTTTTAACTTTTGTGTACAATGTAAAATTAAATGTTTTAAGATATCTAAACTAAAATTGTAATGCATAGGCCTGTGTGATAGTTTTTTGTAAACGTTTGATAACATTAAAATAATCAAATAGATTGATAGTCTTTTTAAAACAATGATATGTACACTAAAATATAGCAATAAATCAACTATATATACATTAGTGACATATTTAGAAGGTAGCATAGAGACACGTGCCCTTCAATTGATCGAGTGATTTTAATATTTTATCAAGGTGTGTAATAATGTAGGATGAGTTAATAAATAATATTATTTGAGAAAAATGTAATTTTTTTTGGTTATCAATAACATGTTAATTAAACAAATATTATATTAAATTAAACGTCTTATAGGGTTGTCTCAGAAACATAAAATATTACTAATGAATATGATGACTTTAATCATTTCAAAGTATTCAATTTGTAGAAAAATATCTGATAGTTTTTATTTAAATAATTATATGCCCATTTTTAAATATTAAAAAAAGATTCAAAGAGATAAAAACACCCAGCACATTTAGGACGAAAATAGTTGATATCTAATTGTAGTTAATATCATTACCTTAAAACGTAAAAATTTAACAATAATTTATCTATATTTTGAATTTAATAAAATGTTTAAGTTTTTAATCTACTAGTATATGGCACTTTTTAATAGAACTTTATTCATTTATTAGATATAAAACTTTAGTTTCAAATTATTGAATTAATATATATGTATAATACAAAAAGGTTCAAAAATACAGGTAGCTAATTGGTTTTTTATGACGTTGCTATTAAAGTTGTGGAGTATTTATTGTCAAATATAACTATCAATAGGTATGATTTTTGTATTGCTAGTTAGTGTATTTATAAACTCACAAGAATGTTCCTTACTACCATTGATAATAAATGCTGCATATCTGTGAATAAAGACATCATAAAACGCCAATTATCTACCTGTATTTGTAGTCCCTCATGTATTATACATGTACTGAAAAATTTGGAACTTTAAAATTTTATATCTAATATATGAATAAAGTTATATTAAAAGTTTAAATGCCATTTACTATTAAATTAAAAACTCAAACATATTATTAAATTCAAAGTATGTATTTCCATTTGAATAAACAAAGTTGACACCCTTACAAAGCATGAGGGATGAAGTTAATAATTCAAGAATAATGTGTAACTAAAGATAACCAAAAAAAAAAAATGTTTAAATTATTTTTATTTTGTAAGCAATTAAGTGGGTTATGATAAAAAAATCATTCTGTATATTTGTAATTTTACAATTTCTGTTTTAAAGTTTCACTCAAATATTAAATTTAAATTGTCAATATATATTTTTTATCATAAAGTACTTTTAAAAAGCTTTAATTTAATTTAGGTTTTAAGAACATAGATGTCTCAGAACATTCTAAAAATTTATATTAAAACAACTTTTGTCATGTATGGATATTAAACTTGTACTATCAACTAACTTACTATAACTAGCAAATTCTTTTACTCTTCCTATATTTAGGTTATTCATCAGATATTTATAAATAGTATATCAAAAAAAAAAAAAAACTTAAATAAAACANTAGTATATCAAAAAAAAAAAAACTTAAATTTTTAAAATTTTTGCAATTTTAAAATGCAGAAACAAATTGTGATTTTGCAATTTCTGACGGCTGCTGAATTTTGAGATATTTGTCTAAATTTCTAAAATGAGACAGTTTTAACAACTTTTGAAGGAGATATTTTGAACTAGATCAAATTTAGATTTTTTTGATATCTCTTTTAGATCTTTAAAATTGGCCCAAGAGAGCCGATAACTTTTATAGACAAATACAAAAAAAAAAACATCACAGTAAACCAATATCTTCTCAGTTTCACATTTAAGTTAAATTGATATTTTTTTCAAAATTTTAAATATTGCTTAGTTGGAAAAAATAGTTTCTTATTAAGTGATTTAAGTATGTATGTGGTATTTTTTTTGTTCCTTTTTTTAATTTTTATGTAAATTTTTTTTCATAAATTTCTAAATATGCCATTAGTTACTATAGTTGAGATTGATATTAAAATTGTATCGGTATATTCAATGGATATGATTAATCAATATAATTATTTGGTTGTATCAACATATTTTTTTCCTCAAAATACATAGATTAATAATAGATACATAGATTAATAATATCTACCAGACATGAAAAACAATTAGTATATATTTTGAGCAGACCTAGTGATGTGTGCATGTACATATTAAAAACCTTATAATATAAGGGTTTTAGTATCAAAGTAGTAAGCCTTTTTTTTTTTTTTTGACTTATGGTTGTTTACCTGCAAGAGGTAGAAGGAAGAAAAAAAGCTAGTCGGTTTTAACTGAGAATTGAAACCAAAGGGTTACTTATATAATATAAGAAAATAAAGTTGATGTTGCAGGATAAATTATAAATAAAATATTTATAAAAAAAAAACAATTTCTTCAAGCAAATAAATGAATTACTTACATGTGAGAACTGTGGTATTTTTCTTCGTTTATATACCCAATATACAAATAAAAACATACTTGCTACTGCTACTAAGGGTATTGTAGAAAATACTACAGTGTTAATTAATTCATCATCATCATGGATTGGTTTAGCAGCTATTTTTTTTAAATTAGTTAAAAATTAATTATAATTGAGATAATACAATTTTTCTAGACTTACAAGGTTCAATTTTAGGAATCGTAGGTACAGGCTCCCACAAAAGTTCTCTATTACATAAATCACCTTCACAACAACAAAACATGTATCCATTTGGTTTAATTTCTTCTTTTTTGGCTTTGCATTGTTTCTGACCATGACACTCAACATTATTCAAAAAACAACCCTACATTAAATTCAGTTAATAAAAGAAATTCAGTAAAAATTAAATTTTAATGAATTAGTTAAATGATAACCTTTAGTTCAATAGTTAGTTCATTTGTCTTGGTATTATTAGTCCATACTGCAAAACAAGAAGATGGTTTGTCATTTTCAGCAGGTGTGCATTCTTGTGTAACATTTCCACAGCCATTCAATCCATGTGATGAGCCACACAATGTTCGATTGTAAAATTCACATTTTGTGATAGGAACTGGGACATGCCGACTTGCACTATTACATAAAGTAACTAAAACTAGAGTGCAACATAAACACCACATCCATAATCTAAAATCCATCTTTGGATACTTATTTTAAGCAGAATACTTAGTACATTGAATGTCTATTATGCATTTTCTAAAACATAAATAATTGTACAACATAAGATAAAATATAATATTGCACAAAGTTCATCATAATAATAGTATTATTATACAAAAATATAATATTAAATAATATCATTAATAAATTTATATAACATGATTAAATTAATAAATCAATTTTTCTCAAAAATACTACATAAATATTAGTACAAATATTTTTATTTCTAAAGAGATAAAAATAGTAAAATTTTCAAAGAAAATACCTATATAACTATAAGGGTTAATCATTTTAAACTTACCTTAGAACAAAATTTCATAGATTTCGTTGGCCGACAAAATTAGGTATAATCAATAATTGTGACATTATTTCAATTTTTATTATAACCCCAATTGTATGACACTTGAAAAAATTGATAATTTTTTATTAATCCAAATTTAAACAAGTCTATATTGTAAAGATTTTTAACAACAAAAACAATATGGACGACCCCTGAGAAAAATATTAAGGCTTAGTAAATAGTGCACACAGGATCAGTGTCACCATATAAAAGAACTTAATAAATTTTACACCATGTATAATCTCATAATTTAAGACAAAAAAATTAATTTATAAGTCTTTTAAATACTTAAACTTTTTAATTATTTATAGTTTATTAGATACTTTATGTAATTAAAAAAAGAAAAATATTTAAATGATCAATTTCTTAATAATTTTGATTAGCTAACTTAGAAGTTATAAACCTGCTTATTTATGTGTGTATTTTTGATAAGAAAACTAAATGATAATCAATCAAAGCATGTGACTCATGTTAAGGATTCTTTAGATAATTATTTTGATTGAGTTTTTGTGTTATTAAATTGAAATTTTTGTATCTTGTTCATATTATAATTATGGGGAAAGCTAAAAAGAAGAACGTGAAAGGTGGAATGGAGAAACCGTATACTAATTTAGCTGATCAAATAGTTAACGATCGCGTTGTTTCGAAAAAAAATAAAGAACCCAAAATAAGAATACGTCAAGAGGAAAACGAAGAAGTAAATATAACGTTTGCAAAAGCAATCATACTTATTAACTTATTTTTTTTTTAGTTAGTCAATTCTCAGTTATCAAAACGTATTCTAGATCAAATTCGACAACAAAAACAAGAAGTAACTGAGAGTGGTAAATATATTGATAAATAGTTTAAACTTAAATTATTAATCAAATTAAATTTTAGATGGTAGCAGTAAAAATCTTCTTACTTCCCTGGGCTCAGGAACTGATTCAGAAGAAGAAGATAATGATGAAAAAACAATGTTTGGCGAAGATGAAGGAGATTTTTATGAACAATTGGTAATATGATATTTTAAAATAAATATTGATGATTTTTTGCTGGTAATTATCTCAACTACATTTTAGCTTTGATGCGAAGCTGAGAAGGTATTGGTTATACTATGATGTGTTTTTTTTTTTTGTGTCTGTTACCACTTTTTCTCAGCTCTCACCGAACGGATTTCTTTCAACGATACGTCAAAAGATCACAAATCGTATCTAGTCGAAGACATTACCCTTAAAAATTCAAAAAATTTCCCTCATTCCCCGTAAATGAAGGAAACCTCCAAAAAAATTACAAATTTAAAAATCGCTAATTTTCGAAATTTTTTTATTAAAAACTGCCGTAACTTTTTCAAAAATGAACATATCAATATAATTTTTTTTTTTTTATAGATGCTTGATGTCTTTATCTATCATTTGGTATATTTGTTTTGTAAACTTGACCCTTTATCTGCACACAGGGGGGGATTTAAAATGACAACTTTTTTACAAAAAATTTACTTTTGAAAATGTTTTGGAAGGTCTGACACTTTTATATATATCTTAAATTAAAGTTAATGTAATGTACTTTATTATGAAAAAAAAAAATTTGACCTCTGGACTTGTCTTCACGGCGAAAATGGCTACCAAATGCTATTTTCGTGTGAAAATTCTCGATTTTATTTTTTATATTTTTAACTTTATAATGCTTTAACTTATTGAAAAGTGTATGGATCAACACAATTTTTTTATGAGAAATAATATTTTTTAATAATTCCTTTTTCATTCAACATACTTTATCTTAATCAAGATATTAATAAGGAACTAGCAGATCATGTAGCCTTTGGAATAATACACCAATTTTTTTTAAATTAAACACTATCTAAAGATTTGCATCGAAGCGTTTATTTTTAATAGTGATTTTAATCACTGTCAGATATCATTATACTTAATCCAACTATACCATGGCTCCACTGTGCCGCGACCCCCCTATGCTGGGTTTTGTTTTTATTTTATATGTTAATGAACATTTTAATTTTATTTTAGACACAGATATGAATATATAACTCATAGTATTTTACTATAACTTAGCTGATAATTACATGTTAACAGGCAACATATATTGCTAAAAATTGCAGATATTATTGTTATTTTAAATAGGAAGCATGCAGAAATAGAAATTAAATAACATTTTTTATTTTTTTCATTTTTATTTTTTAGGAAATCAATGAAGAAGATGAAAAAGCATTGGAAATGTTTATGTCTAAAAAACCTGAAGCTAGACTAACATTAGCTGATATGATAATGGAAAAAATTACTGAAAAACAAACTGAAATACAATCACAGTTCACTGATGCTGAAAGTAAGTTATATCATTGATTATAAATTGTGTATTCATTTATTATACATTAATATAATTTATTAATTTATTATAATCAATAAACCTATATGTTTGTCAATGTTTTCAAAAAAAAAGTTTATTAAATAAATTTTATATGTGATCTATAGGTATGCAATTACAAGATGTAGAGCCAAGAGTATTACAAATGTATAAGGGTGTAAAACAAGTTTTAAGTACTTATAGAAGTGGAAAACTTCCTAAAGCTTTTAAACTAATACCAAAATTACGAAATTGGGAACAAATTTTATATATCACAGGTGAACATTAATTAATCTAATATTTTATTAAATTATAGTATTACACATTTTAGCATAAATACATTTTACCAGTCTATCAAGATTTTTCAAAAAAAATTTTTTTTGATAATTTTTTTTTAATTTACATGTAAGAGTTTTGGTGATGTAGTCACCAATTATTAAATTTGTTTCTAAATAAAAGAAAGTATAGTTACTTAAATAAATAGTTTTACTGTATGCCACACATTTCAAACTATTGCACAGTTGATAATGCGTACCTATGTATCCCCAGTAATATATAAGTAATAGCTGTTGCACTTTTTTATTTTTTGAAGTAATGAATTAGTATGGATGTTTGAATTAGATATCCACTATATTGTGGTCTTTTTTTTTCTTAATATTATATTATCACAAGTGTTTCTTATTGTAGGGTCTTGTCACTTTAAATTTAGTATTAAAATATCTCATCAATGTATTTATTATTATAATTATACATTATATATTTCAGTATTTTATTAATGCATTTTAATATTGCACCATTGAATTTCAACATTACACTAATGAAATTGAAATTGAAATTTAATTAATTTAAATATTAATTAAATAATTTAAAAAATTAATTGAGTTTTTGAGATAATATTTTGGATGAGGAATATTACGTCATTGTGATTTCATATTATTATAAAAAAAAACAATAACAAAAAAAACTAATTTTTAAAGTATTTTTAGCTCGCTAACATATTAACTTAAAAAAATCTGTAATATTAGACCCATAATTTCCAAATAATTTTTGAAACACTTGAAAAAGTAATAAAAAAAAAAGATTTTTGAAAAATTTTGATGGAGTAGTAAAATGCCTGTTTTAATATTTTACTAAGTTTTTTTTATTATAATTTAGTTATTAAAATTTTAAGTTTTAAACTCAAACATGTTAATATGTAATTAAAATAAATTTCATGTTTAAAAAGAAGTAGTTTTTGTAAAACAAATTTTACGGTTTTTCTATATTCTATGATATTTTATTTAACAGAACCTACATCTTGGAGTGCTGCTGCCATGTATCAAGGAGTTCGCATTTTTGCATCTAATCTTAAAGAAAACATGGCTCAAAGATTTTATAATCTTGTTCTCCTTCCTAGAATTAGAGATGACATAGAAGAATATAAAAAATTAAATTTTCATTTGTATGAAGCTTTAAAAAAAGCTCTATTTAAACCAGGAGCATTTATGAAAGGAATTCTTATTCCTTTATGTGAGGTAAATTATACAAACTAATTTTTACTTTTAATGTATATGTTTACAGTATTAGTTAAGATTTCATATATAAGTATAGTTAATATATCTTTATTTTTAGAGTGGTACATGTACGCTTCGAGAAGCTATTATTATTGGTTCAGTTATTGCTAAAAATTCTATCCCAATGCTACATTCAGCAGCTGCTATTCTCAAGTTGGCTGAAATGGATTATAATGGAGCAACATCTATTTTTTTAAGAATATTTTTTGATAAAAAATATGCACTACCATATAGAGTTATTGATGCTGTTGTATTCCATTTTTTAAGGTAATTACTAATAGTTCATATTTAAATAATAAAATTAAGTTCCTTGAACTTTTTCAAATGGATAAATTTCATTTTTAGTATACACAATTTTCTGGAGTAATTTATTTACCTAAATAAACAATGTTGAAAAAAATAATTTAAAATTCAATCTAAAAATATTTTATTTTAATTTATCATTATATACTCCCTTTGTTACTACAGAATTTGTTTTTAATAAACATTTTTGGAGGCTTAATATTTTACATTCTATATAACTTCTATTTTTATATTGGATTTACGTAGCTTATTATTTCAAGTTGTTCTTTTAAAATAAATTAATTCAATTACTTTTACTAATAGAAGTGTAATGGTATTAGTTTTTCTATATTTTGAAATATTTAATATTTTTTAGGTTTGAAAATGACCCTAGGGAATTACCTGTTTTATGGCATCAATCATTATTGACTTTTGCTCAACGTTATAAAACTGATATTAGCTCTGAACAGAAAAAAGCTCTATTAAAGTTGTTAAGATCTAAATCTCATTCAACAATTACTCCAGAAATTCGTCGTGAGTATGAAAATTCTACATGTAGAGATATAGAAATGTCTGAACCTATGATGTAAAGAAATGTCGTTTAAGTGATAAGTTTTAAATATGATAATTAATGTTTTAACTATTATGTTGACTATAATAAAATAAAATTTTTTAAGTATTTTTGTATTGTTTTTTATCTCATATACTTCAACCAAGTAGACTGTTGTATATAAGGTCCATGTACTTCCAAACAGAATTTGTGTAAATAAGCTTTAAATTTACAGTTTGAAATAGTAGCTCTGTATTTTACTAAAGGTATAAATCTTTATGTTTGTAATCTAATATTTGTAACTACAGATGCATTAAGAGAAAAGAAATAGTTAAATAAATTTTATTATTTTAATTTTTTTTAGCTTTTCAATGAAATCACTGAAATGTGTTCTTTTGCCAACTTCGATTTACATAATTTATAAAGGATTAAAAATTTCAATCTGAAAAGATTGTTTTATCTTCGATGCAAATCTGAGATGGTATTAATTTGACCATAATGTTTTTATTTTTGTGTCTTTCTCAGCTCACACTGGACCTATTTTTCTCAATTATACGTTAAAAGATCACAAATCGTATTTAGTTGAAGATATTACCCTCAAAATTTGAAAATTTTCCCTCGTTCCCCGTAAATGGTGGAAATCTCCCCACAAAATACGATTTTTAAAATTGTTAAATTTCGGAATTTTTTTCACTTTTTTTTTTTTTATAACTTATTGAAAAATGAACAAATCAAAACATTTTTTTTTTTTTTAATTGAAACCTTAGATATTTCCTTTTTATTTGATATAAATTTTATGATAATATGACCCTTTACCTACCCACAAGAGAGGATTCAAAATAGAAAAACTAAACTTTTAAAAATGTTCCAGAAATACTGCGTCTTTTAAACATGTGTCAAATTAAAGCTTATAATAATTACTATAAGTTCAAAAAAAAAAATTTGTCCCGATGACTTTCTTCTACGTGCAAACTAAAGTTAAAAAATGCTATTTTTGTGTTAAAATTTTTAATTTTAAATTTTCAACTTCACATTATTATAACTTTTTGAAAAATGTATAGATCAATACAAATTTTTGTTTCTAAATACATTATATATACCCCTTTCATCCAACATATTTTTTTTTTCAATCTAGCAATATCCCCTATACAGGGGGCGTTCAAAACTTAAAACATGCCTATAAAAAGTAGAACTTTTTCAACTGATCTTTTGAAAATTTTCGGGAAATACTTCGTCCTTTAAACATATGTTAAATTAAAGTTTACATTATGTACTAAAAGTTAAAAAAAAAAATTATCCCGATGACCTTTCTTCTATGTACAAATGGTAGTCGAAGTAGAACAAAAAATAGGAGTTAATTTTGCTTTTAGAATAATCAACCAATTTCTTAAAATTAAACACTATCTACAGATTTTCATGGAAGCGTTTCTTATGATGATGATTTCAATCACTGTCAGATATCATCTATACTTGTCCCAACTATACCACGTTCACACTGTGCTAACGTTTTTTTATTTATACTTATTTTTATTATAATTGTTAATAAAGACTTTAACATCTTTAATTAATATAATAATCATATTATGTAAAATTTGACAAAAATTTTTTAAAAAAAAGTATGATTAAAGGTTTTATGTGACAGGGCTACATGCTCTGGCGTGATATCTTAAAATGGGCATCCATCTTTAAAAATATCAAGCTTCAATGAAAAAGTGTTATAAAAAAAAAGTCACTTATACAAAATAGTTCTTAACAGGCTATTAAATTTCAAAATATACACCTAACGACTATGAGCTTTGATACATTCGTCTTTAATCTCCGCCTTAATATGGCCCCAGGTTAACAATTAAAAAAAGAGCTTATTTTAGTAAAAAAACCATATTTTTTTCGTTATTATATTAGAATTTAATTTTTTAGTAATATCAGATAGATTTCACCTATTAGAAAGATTTTTTGTCATTATAGCTATAAAAACTCAAGAGATGTGACGAAAAAATATTCTTAATTTCTCACAGTGATCACCGGGATCACAGTAATAATTTGTAAAACCAAATAAATTTTAAATTTCGAGGCTTCAGTAATTATTGAATTTTTCTTATAGATTGTTTTTGTTTGCTTGTCAAGTTGACGAGTGGACTTAGAATTAACCTTTGAGAACTATAAGTTAATATACTAAAATTTTCATTTTGAACCTATTTTTTTGGTTCTTTAAAGTTTATGTAAAATTTTTGACAAGTTTTGTGAAGTTTATAGTAAAAAAAATTGAATATGTTACTAACTTTTAGCTCAATTACAAGTTTGAAATTGACATCATTAAATAGAAAATTTTATGAAAATTAAAACTATGCTATTTTTAAGACTAATATGCAGTCAGGAAATTTTATAATTACTATTAACTGTATATTTATCAGAAAAGTTAGATTTTTTTACATTTTTATCGTAATAGAACACTTAAATAGAAATCATAGTAATCATTTCTAAATAATTTTTGGTATTTAAATAGATTCTACAATTGAAATATCCAGAACTAAATTAATTTTAATTATTCAATTTAACTAAACAAAAAAAAGTTATCATTTTGAATCCCTCTTGTGGGCAGGTAAAGGGTTAGATTTATAAAAAAAACCAAATGATAGATAAAGACATGCATCTAAATAAAAAAAAATATACTGATTTGGTCATTTTTGATAAAGTTATAACAATTAACAAAGTTATAAGTTTTATACACTGGACTACAAAACGTACTACGGTTTATAAAAAAAAACTTTTCGCGATGTTTTCAAATGTGCACTTAGGCTTTTTCTAACACTTCTGATAAAGAATTTCTGATAAAGTTTAACAGTTAACAAAGTTATAAGTTTTATACACTGTACTACAAGGAACTTTCATCAGACACAAAAATATAATATTCTAAATCAACATTTCGTGATGTTTTTAAATGTGTAATTAGACTATTTCTATCACTTTTAAGTTTTAATATTATTAAAAAATAGTATTTACATATAAAAAAAAATAATTAAGAACAAAAAAAATTGTTTTAAATTAATACTGATTTGATATAATATTTAATATTAATTTGATTATTAATAAGTTAAAAATAAGGAAAATGACATATTTAACCTATTTTTTTAATCGTTTAAAGTTGATATTTGTAAATTTTTATAATAAAAAAAAATAATTTATTTTACCATAACTTTTAACTCAATTGGCAAGTTTGAAATTGACATCATTAAATAGAAAATTTTATGACAATTAAAAAAATTGTATCGTTAAGATCAATATGCAGTCAGAAAGTTTTATNGTATGAGAATTAAAAAAATGGTATCGTTAACATATTAATATGCAGTCAGAAAGTATTATAATTACTTTTTATTTATTGTAAATTTATCAGAAAAGTTCAATATTTTTTTGCATTTTTATCGTAATAGATAACTTAAATATAATTGATTCATACATTTTTTAAAAAGTTATAGCATCATAATGTAAAATAAAAAAAAAATGTAAAATATAATATCAAGAATTTTTTCACAAAAATAGCATATTTTTACATACGATAGTCATTTTCACCACGAAGATAAGTCCAGAGGTCAAATTTTTTTTTTTCAAATTAAAGTATATTACATTAGCTTTAATTTAAAGTATATATAAAAGTGTCAGTCTTTCCGGAACATTTTCAAAAGTTAAGTTGAAAAAGTTAATTTTTTGTAAAAAAGTTACCATTTTGAAACCCCATCCTTTGGGCTGTTAAAGGGTCAAATGTTCACAAAAATATATAAAATGATAGGTAATTATCTAAGGTATCTATAAAAAAAAAANTCACAAAAATATATAAAATGATAGGTGAATACCTATCTATAAAAAAAAATTATATTGATTCGATCATTTTTAAAAAAGTTATAGCGATTTTATAATTTGTAATTTTTTGGGGGATTTCCTCGTTTACGGGGAACGAGGGATTTGTTTTCAAATTTTGAGGGTAATGTCTTCGACTAGATACAATTTTTGATCTTTTGACATATTTTTCATCAAAATCAGTTCAACGAGAGCTGAAATTGAGCGTATACAGACACAAAAAAAAAAATAATAATAATAATAAAAAAAACACATTATAGTAAAATTAATACCTTCTCAGCTTCGCATCAAAGCTAAAAAGTTCTAACCACATAGAAGTTATATAATTTTTAATTAAACCAAGGCGGAAAATTTCCTGGTATCGTTTTTAAGTGGTAAAGTATATATTATTGAAACTGTATTAAAAATAAAAAAAAATTTCTATTTATTTTTTTTAAACTTAATTTTAAATAATAAAAGTGAATAAAATATTTAAATATTTTGAGAAAAATATGAGTATTTTTGCTATTTTTGTTAGAAAATATCAATTTAATAAGTATTTCCTCTTAAGTTTTGCTTTAAAAAATGTGTAAATGTATTAAGATGTTATGTTTTACTAAATTATTGATAGTACATTATGCATAAAAGAAGTTACAGAAACGAAATAGTGTCTATTAGAGGCAATGATGGGTAGTGGGTGTATATAGGTAAAGCAACCATAATAAACCAGATGACGGTGTGTACTCTCACGGCAGTTGTAGACAACAGTACAATATCCAACCGAATATGGACTACGTCGGTCGTCGTTCGTTACTCTTCTTCGCTATTAGATTCGTTTGAATAATTTACGTGTTACCTATAGAGAATTTTTTTAACGCAATAAAAATAACTAAAGTTGGGGTATAATACAACTGATCTCTTTAACAAATAAAAATTACTCCAAATAATAAACTTTTTTTATTACTTTTAATTAAATAGGTAACAATACATTTAAAAGACCACGTGGTAACATGGATGACCTTGTAAGTATACAGTTTTTTAAAATAATTTATAGTTAAAAAAATTCTTGATTGCCAAATTTAAAAATATTATTACATTTATAGTATTATCAAAATATATTGTTAAGTATTTTATGTTAATTAGATGTCTATGAATATTAACTACTTACAGAGATATGATTTGAATAATTGAACCTTAAACTATTTTTTCGAAACTAAATTAAAATATTTGTATTGGGGTAGTCGTTAAAAATCGAAATTTTTTATTTTACCTCAGACTCCCTTTAAATATATTTTGATGCTAATAAAAATTAATTGTATAAAATTTGGAATCGATTAGTTAATGTTATCGCGTGCCTCACAACCCCTAAATTTGAATGAAAATTTCATTAAAAAAATTTAAGGTGAAATTTTTATCATCTTTTTTTTATTCAACTAAAATGTTATTAAGATTTCCAAAATGTAATTTTTATGTTACTATTATAATTTTCAAATAAAAAATAATTAAAATCATAAAAACTATTAGTTTTATTTTATAAAATATTTAAACTACAGACTTTTTATGAAATAATTTAATTAGTATTTAAGTTTTATAGAAAGTCTTAAAAAATTATGGATTTATTAAAATAAGTTATTGTTTTTTTTAAATTGAAACAGAGTCAAAAGTTAATTAAAAATCAAATTAACTCCTACCTAAAAATGAATAGTTTATTAGGATAATAACACTAATTTAAAAACATTATCGTATATTTAATAGATAATACATCAATAATGAAAAAATAAATCACACGCTTCAAAATTTAACTACATATAACTTTATAAGGTTTAATAATTTCTTCAGTAAAAATTATTTTATGTAAATCTAAAACAACAAAAATGACTTTAAAATTTTACATTAAACTATTTCGCATTGTTAATTAAGAATAATTAAACTAATTAAGCTGTGTAAAATCTAATTAATCTGTTTCCAACGACAAAAACTAAACAAGACTGAATAATATTTGTTTTTAATTTAGGTAGTATTACCTAAAAATTATTTATTAAAAAAAAAGTATTTTTTTCAAAACTTTGAAAGTTTTACATATTTTTTACTGTTAATAACATTAATACCAAATATCAATTCTATTATTTATATAAAAATTACATTTTTTAAATCCTTATATTTTGGATTTATAAGTATTACAAAAGTAGTTATAAGTTAAATAAAATAGTCAGGGTGAAAATGTCTTTTTTTTTTGAAAAATGATACTTTTATACTCAGCTTTAGGGGTCATGTGGAATGTGTTAATATTGATTAGTCGCATTTCTAAATTTCGTACAATTCATTTCTATTAGGATCGAAATAAATTTAGTGAAGTCTGAGGTATAACCAATAAAAATTGTTTTGTAACGACTATCCTAATGTTTATGTTATTATTTATATTATAATAAAAAAATAATTGTCAATTATAATAAGACAATAGAATGCTTCTTTGGAAGAATATTGAAGAAGTTTTGAATCCAAAAGTATTTTTATTAAATAGAATAATAATCGCATTGAATATTTTTTACACTTTATTGACAAAATTTATAATTAAAGTCATAAATCGTTTTAAATTTCTACTTCTTCACTAATACTTTGAAGATTTTCAAACACGTTTTTACTAACATTATCTTAATTTTATATCCATGAATGTCATAATTAAACAAGAATTTGAGCAGTAGCAGGTACTGTTTAAATAGTAATATAGTAGTAAAATTGTAATTTTGCATTTAAAAAGTTTGTCCACTTATCGCTTTTCTATAATTACTACTGTATTCTGATATAATGAAAATTATGTTTATGTAATTAAAGATTAATGTAAATAATAATGGTTAATTGAATAAAATTAGTCTAGACGCTATTTTAAGTCAACGACTTGAGATAATAGAACATACAATTTTATTTACTTATCTTTGTACATCTAGTAGCACATCTTAAATATCGTTGTTCACAAAATTTTAGAGTTCGCAGAAGTTATAAAACTTTTCTGAATATATACATTAAAAATGTATATAAATTAATTTAGCTAAATAAAAATTAGTTTTATCAATTTGTGTTTGTTTATAATCATATATGAATTAAAAAATACATTAAACAAGTTGTAATTGATTATATTATATCCATAATTTTACATTACTGAGATATTATTAAATAGATAGACTATGTACTATACATGTATATAAAGTTTAGCTATTTTATTATTAATAATCAATGTAAGGTTTAATATTATACTTCTTCACTTTCTCCATATTAATGGAGCCAAAATAAGTATTTATAGTATTAAATATAATATACTTAAAAGTGAAGTTTGTAGAAAGTTCTTTCCTCCAACCAATGAGTTATATACAGTTCAGCCCAAAACCAAAGTAAATATTAGTATACTTTTATAAAATGTACTTTACGTAAGAAAACTACATTTTTCCAAGAGAAAAACTATCTTCAGTTCATATTTTATTATTGAGAAAAATCGGAAGCATGCCAACCTTTCATGCACGTATCAATAGGCCCTGACAATTACCGTGAACTTATAGTTTCAAAAATTCCCAAGTGGTTGGAATAGTTACAAAATGTTATATATATATATATATATATATATAACATTTATATATGTATGTATATTTTTTAAACTTATTGTGATAAAATTAACCTTTCAAAACCATATAGTTAAAAAACTACAGTTTAATTTCATTTTTAGATAGCAAAATATTGTACAATTATTTAAAATATAAATATAAAAAAAGTAATTAAAGAAAAAATGTTAATCATATTAAATTAATTACAAGAAATCGCTAGAGAATTGTACATTTAATGGATTTTATATTGTAGTTTACTTGTCAAGCTTTTGGGAGTCATTTATTATTATATATATGACTGATATGATACTTGCGAATGATTAATATTAGGAACTAGCTAGACAAATCTTAATCAAATTTTAACAATTATTAACTGCTAAGTCGATTTTGAGAAATTGCTGACTATTACTGTGATAAATACAGTCAATTAATTTTTAGCTGCTCATTGTGTCATATTATATCTTTACTGCTGTTAGTTTATTTAATTAATGGTCCAGTTTTTTGTACATTAAGCCTGGAATACACTAAAATACGAAAAACTCTATGAAGAGCCAATTTACAAGTATAATACCATTGAACAGTGTCCTGTAAGAAAGCATTTTTTTATAATTATAAATAAAGCGTGTTAGTAATCCTAATATAAAAACAAAACGAATTTATTTCCACTGTAAAGATATATATTAATTGAATTTGTAAACTTCAATTGGCTTTATTATTAGTCATTATAAATCTACTAATCAGTTTCAATTATTATAGTACTCTGTTACTTTATTTATTGCCGAATATTCATAACACAGTATTCGTTGCCAAGTGCGATATCGCAGTAACGATTTTCAAACTGTAAACTTATTTCTGAGAAGCCACCAATTATTTTATCATCTATTTATACGTTTTAATACTTAAAAGTATTAAAGTCGTTTTAATTACAAAAGTATAGATTGATTATTGAAAAATAACCCTATTTACTTGGATTTAAATGAAAAAAAAGTGAAGGAAGTTAACCATACGTAGATACATTTAAAACTAGAGGAGTATCGAAATAAATTCTTTGAAGTTTAAAAAAAATTAAAAATAAATGGTTAAAGTAAAAACAGATATGTACTAAGAAAATTTTTCGTAAGATCGGGGAGTTGAAGAAAAAGTTAAATTTTTTAATGACCTTTAATTTTGCTCATCAAGTATCTACTAGTTATAGTAAAAAAAAAAAAACGATCATTGCTAAATTTTAATGGAAAGTAGCTCTTGAGTGAGTTCGCTATAAATATTATCTAATTAAAAATTTAGTTAATTTGTATACATTGCAATTTATTTGTGTTTTCATTTAGTTTTTTATTTTTCATCGATGACTTTTAAACTAAAAATATAATTGTTTCCTAATGTTATATTATATGGAAAATATATACTTAAAACGTGCATAATAAAAAAATAAAAAATCTTTCATTAGATAGTTTATGTAACCTATAGGTTATTTCCACAAGTTATGTTAAAGACGCATCAAGGGATTATAATATTATAAGAACAAAGTTGTTTATTCTTATTATAAAACAACCGGAAAAAACATACACATTAGGTAAAATATCGAAGAAGATTTATATTATATAACCCAAATAATCATATTTTTTTATGTAATATAAGTTCCGGTTTAGTGTCATATAAACGTACTGAATTTTCAGATAAAATAAGAAAAAATGAAAATATTTATATTTTATGAACATTTCAGAATTATGCGCATTATTATTCGTTGTGTTTAGAATGTCACATTTGACGACAATAAAACAGTTTCATTTAATCGTACAACCACACATGTACTAGTTTAATTTTTTTTGCTTACAATAATCTTTGTACTTGTATATACGACTTATGGGGTGATTAACGTGTCACTCTTTTGTGCCTTAGCCAAATTTAAAACAGAACTATTTTGTGACCTTTTTGTTTTATTTAGAAATAAAAGAACTTTAGTTGCGCATAAATTTTGCCTTAAAACTGCTTATACATCATTTCATGCACTGTTAGTTTCTTTAATGCCAAAAAATCTTTGTTTCTACTTGAAGAAGTTACATTACTTTGTTTATAACTAAATACAGATAAAAAAGTTGTCACCTACATATATAGGTATACATATATATTTTCGCATAAGGTTAGGATATAAATTTGTGCAGCATGCTGAACCACCTCTTCTACTATTAATAACATACACGTGTATTTTAATCGTTAAATAATATCCTAAGAAAATTTTATTCTATTGAATGTACACTACTAAATTTTCTAATGACACAATATTCTATATTTTTCTTGATTTATAATTGAATAAAAGAGTGAAAAAAAGAAAATCTGTGGTATAGTCGTGTAAAACTATTATAAACCCAAGTGAAATAAGTCACGCACATTTATAAAGACGATAATAGCAAAAAATGAACGATAATAATCAT